GAACGCTGCAGTGCTAGGGCACATGGAATGTCCCACAGGAGTGTGGGGGCTTCCCCAGCATGCTTGACAGTAGACCTGGAAATGTGTCTGTATCCCAAGTACACAACCCCTGATCTAATCCAACCTCCTGGATGGTTAAACAACCTGTGAGCAACCCAAAGGAAGATTGGGTAACCAAGCCCAGTAGGGACATAGAATCATCTGTTATTTGTGACAGGCAATTTGCTAGTGCTTCATAAAATCCTTGACCCCTTACTGATGGGTTTGTTTTTTTAGCAGATTTGGAATTCCAAGTCCCTTAGTCATTGTGGCCAATGCTGTCCTGCCTGGGTTATTGTTCTGGCCAGTGCTAATCAGGAGGGATGACATTAGCCAGCATAGGCCTTATGATGTCATCGAGTAGGTCTTGATGATGCAGGCTGTAATGGGCTCAGTATTGTAAATGAGACCGCATGTTTCTTGTTTGGCACCAGAATGTTTTGGTCTGCATTAGTTTAATTAGTGTTGCTTTGCTGTGATTCCAATTCCCATGCACCGTCTGGAATCTGGGTTCCTACATTGGCTTGACTTCAGATTGGACAGTTCATCCAGATTTGACTGAGAGAACAGTTCACTTTATATTATGTATGGGATGACCTGAACAGAATAATTTATTATCTGAGCCAGATGCTGAGGGAAAGATGGATTTGTTGGATATCTTTTTTAGAATCGTGACTGACTGAATCATGAGATTGAGCAGAGCTGGAGCAGTGCCTTTTGAAGTAGTTATGAGTATGCTGGGAGCATGTGGGTGTAAGTGAGAACTGTGGTGGTGGTGGCTGGCCTAACCAAGAAAGGTGGGTTTCAGCAGTATTGGACCTTTATTTCTTGAAAACAAACTTATGATAGCTCTAGTGCTGTTATCTGATTCAGGGGGGAGGCAAATATTTACTACATTATAGTCTGTTACAGATTGAAAGTGGCCTGTTGGTTATGAAGTAGAGGTGCACTGTTACATCAGTCCATATTGTATTGGCACTGATTAAAAGGAAAGTTGACATTATCGTCAATCGGCTTTTTAGGCTGATGTGGCTGATAATGTTGCCAATAAATGCCACATGCATGTACGCAACTACAGTATGCGCGTGACCAGGAGTGCAGCTGGGGAGCTTGGAGAACAGCGTCTGGCTGGTAAGTCGTGTTGGGGAAAAGGGGTGGGTGTGGAGGGAAGGGCCATGGTGAGGGGCAGATCAAGGCCCCCATGGTGAAGGAGGCAGTGGGGCAGGGGCAGGGAAAGCCTGGAGTGCAGCTGCCGGGAAAAGGGTGGAGCAGCCCTTACCCCAAGCAGGCAGCCTGCCTTCATCCCATGCACAGATCTGAGGGGGAACATGCCCCCCCATGTCTCCCCCAGGGGGTGTGCAGCCACCCCTTCCCTTGCCCCCAGATAAGCCATCTCCTGCCCCTGCCCCAGCCCTACTCCCTCCCTCACTGTGGAGGCCTTAATCTGCCCCCCGTCCATCCCTTCCCCCACCAAGAGACTTACCAGCTGTACACTGCTCTCCATGCTGCTGGGCTGCATATCAGCAGTCGATTGGTATTGGTTGATATGGCTGGTCAATAATCAGCCGTTTATATTGGCCCAAAAAATCTTTATTGGTGCACCCCTGTTGTGAAGACATCTGGAACAGGTTTAGAGCTAAAGGTTTCTTTTGTATGAGGGGCAGAGTCCCATTGTAGCCCTTGTGCTTAAGGAAGCGGTTGAGAGAAGAGCCCAGCTTCCTTTTAATTCATTTTCACTTTTAGAAGTACACAGGGGTCACTGCTCTGGCGCTGTTCAGTGAAGTGTAGGACTGGCAAGAGCTGTTTCTGCTGCTGCAGTTTCCTACTTGGGGAAAGAAGAGATGGATGCTACTTAAAGCCACTGACATGCTCTCAAAGTGATAGAACCAACATAATCTTGTCCCATTACACTTGGTAACTGAAATGTGTACTGTGTTTTTAAACAGGTTGTTCCAACCATCCTAGAGAAATTTAAAGAGAAGAAGCCTCAAGTGGTGCAGGCACTACAGGAGGCCATTGATGCAATCTTCCTTACTGTAAGTAATAAAGACCTTGTCCTGCTGAGAGCTGGTCACTCTGTCGTCTTCAGTAATCTCTTCCCTTGCCCCTCTGAACCTAACCAGGCTATTTGTCTAACATTTTAGACCACATTGCAGAACATAAGTGAGGATGTGTTGGCTGTAATGGACAACAAAAACCCAACCATCAAGCAACAGACCTCTCTCTTCATTGCGAGAAGCTTTCGTCATTGCACACCTTCTACCTTGCCAAAGAACCTGCTAAAACCCTTCTGTGCTGCTCTTCTCAAGGTAAGAAGGGATGGGTTGATACTTCTCTAGTATTATCACTGCCAGTGATGCGATGGAAACAATGGGTTGGACTGGCAAGAGATTTCTGGTAGGGAGGGTACTAGATATTGAAGCTGCACTTTTTCTGGTGCAACGGGTACAGAGTAACTGGGAACGTTGTGTAGTGATTGGCTTGCAGCAATAGATTGGTCTGTTTTTTTCCCCCCTCCCCAATTTATTTGAACAAATATTCCTTCATAATAAGTTTCAGTCTGTTATGTGTCTTGCTTTTTGGTTTTTTTAAAGACTTCCATTGCCTAGATCCAACTATGACAGGTAAACTTTTTCTCCCTAAACTAAACTTCTCCAGCTATCTTATTACATGAAACTAGAGTGGACAGCAGCTTTAAGATAACTGATATTCAGTGGAGTAAACTAATATATCTTCCCTTTTGATTTCTTTTCTGGTAAATCTTCACCAGAAGAAAATTTGCTCAAACTTAAAACATACTTTACAGCATTATTTTGAGATTAGTGGTGTTTAATTCTTGCCTTGTTCTTTCAAATAAATCCTCTTGACCCCTGGTCTTAAACCTAATTCCACACTTCCCAACAATTTTGAAAGGGCACTGTTAACTGGAAAGAAGTCTCCATGTCATTTCTTCTGGTATTAAAATACATTTAAAAAGGTATATAGCTTTTTCTCCCTTTGTGAAAGACCCAAAGAGCGAAAGCTCACTGTATGTGGGAAATTGTGGAAACTTGCACTCAAATATGTAAGTAAATGGGGTAGTAAGAAACTTAATTTCTCCTGTAACAGAAATGTTAGGCCATTCATATAGTAATTGCAGGCAAAATATTCAGGAGAAAGTTTTATTAAGTTGGTGTAAAGAAACTGGATTAGAAATCCTGAACCCACCTTTTTAAACTTCTGATTATCTGAATCATACCATTTTTCCACAGCATATCAATGATTCTGCACCAGAAGTAAGAGATGCTGCATTTGAAGCTCTAGGGACTGCCCTGAAGGTAGCAGGAGAGAAAGCTGTGAACCCTTTCCTTACAGATGTAGACAAACTTAAACTAGATCGGGTAAGTCTCTGTGGTATTTAGTAGGATGCTGTGTGTAGTGGGTCTTGAATAGCCTTCAGAATTGTGTAACCATTTTATTTAAAATCCTTGCTGGAAATGGTTAGTTTTCAAGGTGCAGTGTTCACCTTTGGAAACCAAGTTTTGCTCAGCACATTATTTATGTGGTTGAACTTATCCCAGAGGTGTGCTTGTGTCTGTACACTTTTGAGGTGAGAAGTTCAACCATGCATTGACATGTGATGGGATTGTTCAATAATCTTAAAATAGAATTGCTCAATAATATCTTCTGTGAAGAAAACTCTTAATATATTTTAAAATGTTTTGAGAGGTCTTATTAGAAGACCTTCTGTGCATATATGTGCATGTTTACAACTTTTATATGTATACTTTAAGATAACATGCTGCTTGGGCTAGAAATTAAATCTGGTGCTATTAATGCCTAATGGAACTAATTTGATTTTTTTTTTTTTTTTTTTTTGATAAAACAATTTGA